ATGGAAATTCTCAAATGCAAGCATGGGTTCAGGGTGCCATTGCTAAAATTAGTAATAATGCTGATGGAGGTTCCTCGACTTCACAAAATCCAATTAGTGGGCCAGCTTCCTTCACGCCCATTAGCATAAACACAGGGACTTTTCCTGGAACACCTGCTGTGAGGCTTATTGGAGATTGTCATTTTCTTCACAAGTTATGTCAGTTGTTGCTTTTTTGTCTAATATTCCGCCGTAGACAATCACCACGCTTTATTGGAAGCATTCAGAAGAATCCAGATTCTATCTTGCAGAAAGTGCAACCTGCTTCTAATGGAAAAGTAGAGGAGACCAGTGCAGTCTCCCGACCAACTCTAGGAGTTGCAAAAACAGAAGAAGGCCAGCCAGTTAGGACTGGACAATTGACTGTTGGAGCAAAAGGGCTTGAAGAAGGTCCCATCAGCAAGTCTGTAAGATTTGGTTCTGGCAATGCAGGGCAAGGGTATACATCGGAGGAGGTACATATAAGTTTGTATACATATTGCATGTTGGGTCTTTGAAACAGTTCGAATCATTTACCATCTAGATTGATAACATGTCTACATGTGCTTGCTACTAGTACTATATTTAAATAATGTTAACATGTTGCTGCTGGAGTTAAATTGTCCCTCATGTTGCAAGAATCAAAATGACCTGTTGAATTTCTCCATGCACCCACCACATGGGGCAGAACTAGGAAGCAGCTACTTAAACTGCAATTGTACTTCTCAATCCCTGTTGAAGCAAGTGTTTGAGACATAAACTGTCCTCTGATGATTTCCGTTCCACCTTCATTTTCCAACCATAATTTTTTACTTAAAACATGAATTGGGATATGTGCAATATGCACATTTTGAGACATGAGTTGGTAATATGGCTGAGTATAGTCTAAAGAAAGGGATTACATTGAGTGCATTGTAAACTTGGAACAAGATATTGAAGTAACGGCTGATACACAGTCCTCTTGTTGGTATAACTAGAGAATGGTAATTTTTGTATCAATGGATGCCCATATAACCATGTGATAGAAACATTGCAACTATCAACATCATTGCCAAAATGATTTGCTTCTTCAGTTTATGCTTTTTCTCTGCAATAATTGCTACAATTTCTTCAGCCAATGAACTAGTCAGTGTATAACTTGGACCATCTTGTTTGAGTTGTATAATGATTGCGGATTTCTTTGTTTCCATGACTGTGTATGTAGAATTCCAGCAATATCATATCTTCGAGGTTCTCGTTATTAGTTTAGGCTGAATATAGTTTCTTAAGCAATTTCTATCTCTTTTTTTGGATCCTGCACCACCTATGTTGTTGATTTAAATAGAATGAATTATCTTTTCATTATTTAATACTGTCAGAAAACATTTTTGGATCATCATTGATACTTTCGAGCTATTTTCTTATAAATCATAAGGATTGCTGTGCCAGAATCCATGTCTCAGCATGAAGAAGAAAGTATTATTCTGTAAGTACCAACACACACCATATCACATTGCCTTCGTATGGTGGGACAAAATGTTATATTATCTTGGCCAGTGTAGGGTCGTGCTGACTTGCTTGACAAGGAACTGTATCTTGCGTGAAAGTTATTGGCATGCTCCTGTGCAATGAAACAACAATGCTTCATCAGATGTTTACTTTATTCCAGTTATATCTTGATGTAGAGAGACCATGTGTGTTTTCTTATTGTTGTACCTTCCTATAGGTAAAGGTGCTCTTCCTGATTTTGGTAGATCTCTGTCGAAGAACAGCTGGTCTTCAGCACCCATTGCCTGCCTCTCAGGTTGGCGCCAACAATATAATCATACGTCTACACTACATTGATGGAAATTACACTGTGCTACCTGAAGTTGTGGAAGCATCACTTGGCCCACACATGCAGGTGTGTCATATATATGGGTACAAGGTTCAATTTTTTAGTGTTGCGTCAGAAAAAACGGTCCATATCTATGTTTCTGTTGTTTACTGGTGGTAGGTAGCACATACTTTTGTTGTAATATGTGATACAAATGTACTATATCTGTTAACCCTTAATTTCTTTCTCTGTTAATTTAAGGTCATGATTTTCTGCAAATACCAGAGTTGTCTTGTTCATTTGTAGAGTTCTCTGATAATATCTGTTACTTTTTTATTTTATGGTTTTTATACTAAACTGCTTTCTTAAGACTACTGAAGTATATACAATTTCAACATGCAGAATATGCCTCGTCCCAGAGGGGCTGATGCTGCTGGGCTTTTACTCCGAGAGTTAGAATTACACCCTCCAGCTGAGGACTGGCATAGACGAAATATGTTCGGTGGTCCCTGGTCAGATCCAGAAGATCTTCGTCCTTTGGATAACAAAATGAAGTCTAAGCTAGGAGGCTCTTTAAGCTCCCCTATATCAAAATTAGTAGAAGATCAGGATGACCTTTCTGGAGTCCAAGGCCTCTGGCCAAGGAAGCGCAGGTTCTCCGAGAGGGATGCAGCTTTTGGCTTGAAAACTTCTGTGGGCCTAGGATCTTATCTTGGCATTATGGGATCTCGAAGGGATGTTATCACAGCTGTATGGAAAACCGGTCTGGATGGAGTATGGTACAAGGTTTGTTTTACAGATACCTCGCCTTGTCTTTTGCTTTTAGATTTCTTCGCCTATTTTATATTTAATGCTCAATTGGGTGACTATTAGACATGCTTGAACTTTATTTCTCCACCAGCTTAAATTGTCAATATTAGTTTTGATTACTGGAATAAGTTATGGTATCTTAGTTTTGCATAATTTGTTGCTTACCCATCATCCTGCAGCAAAATCCACCTATGGTCCCTTGTTTTCCAGAACTCTTGACTTCTGCAATCTTTCCATTTTGCATGTCACATTGCTTGCAAGCATAAATTGGTGCAATATATCAGTTCATTTTTTGTCGAAGTTGTCACTATTTTTTGTGGGTATTTCATTCTTGCACTCAAGTTTAAAGTCTTACGGTTTAGATCTTTATTTCAGTGCATAAGATGTTTGCGACAAACTTGTGCATTTGCACAGCCTGGTGACCCTAATCCTTCTAACGAACGTGAAGCATGGTGGATCAGCCGCTGGTCTCATGGCTGTCCGATGTGTGGTGGTACGTGGGTTCGAGTCGTTTAGTCCCAGAAACTGTTCGTGCTTTTTGCCTCTTCTTTTTCTGGCTTTACGTATGCAGTAAAACTTTGTACATATGTGTAGCTCATATGTGATTATAACTTACATAACATATTCCCACAATAGATGGTGAAAATATGTGTAAATTAGATTTGTGTATCACGGAAAGGCAATGATGGAATCACAGGTTTGGACATGCCATTGACCCGACTGATCTAAATCAGATTTGTTTATCATGGAAAGTACCATAATGCTTTGTTTTTCTTCTTTTATCGTATAGGAGATGTGTTTTGTGGTTCACTCCAGTAAGTCACGTACATATATTATGCCGATGCTACCTCAATTTGGTTATTTTCCATGATTCCATTTCTCATCAACATGGAATGTATGATACGGACCACTAATCTTTAGGGAAACTTTTTCTTGCACTTATTTCACATGGTGTCAATTAATATGATGTTGAATTTGTGCTTAGTTGATTGTCTTCTTGTTTCTTCTAAAGAAATTGTGATTATGCTTGAGCATTTTACCGGAAAAAAATTTTTCTATTGATTTTTTATTGGATGGCATATTTGTTTTAATATCCTTTTAAACGATTTGATCATTATGTTATTTAAGAAATCTATAATTTTGATAATTAATTATTGTAATTAAAAAAGATTAATCATCTTAGAATCATATCTTAATAACTATTATTTTTTATTTTTTGAGAAATCTATGATAATTAATTATTAATATTTTTGGATAGCATATATGATCAAATTATTTTAGTAAAAGATTGGATATGTTTTGTGAAAATAGAAGAAAAGTACCCCAAATAAAACTAAATATGGAGCGCCATCCGATAAAAAAAAAGGGGGGTCGAATGTCCATTGTGTTTCGCAGAGATAATATATATTGAGTTTCTTGTATAGTTATTTGTTTTCTTTATCCGTTTTCTATGAATACTGATGTCCTCTAAGTGATTCTTAATTTACCATCTATGCCCTGACAGCCTCATAATCAGCCCCGTGATTGAAATTTCCATAGATGAAAATCATGACAATAAGAACTTTTTACTAAAAATATAAAAATAAAAGATTAAAAAATAATTTTTATATTTTAATTGGTGATAATGGATGGTGACATCGTTAGGGGTTGTGGGGCGGGTTTTATGGATGAGAAAAATGATGATGAGAGATGAGGGTTGTTCTGCATTTGGGTACGCAGATGCAGAGTATCAAAAGGGTCGATCGACATATGCATCAATGGCTCTTTCGTTGTCGGACAACTACATCAACACTGATGCAGTTGTCGATCGATGAAAGGATTGCTTTGCATCGACATTTGTATCAACGTTGACGTAGAGCAACATCGCTCGATAACTGCATCCCATATAGATATAAAGCAACGTCGTTCGACATCTATATTGGCAACCCTTTCATCGTTTGATAATTGTGTTGACATTGATGTGGATGCAGAGCGATGTTGCTTGATAATTACGTCAATGTCAATACAGTTGCCGAACGATAAAAGGGTCTCCAATGCAGATGTTGAGCGACCCTTTCGTCCTTTCATTGCTCAACAACTGTATCTACGTACACAAATTGTTGAGAAAGGACCACCAATTGCTATAAAACAACTTTTATCTTTCGTCGCCTCTCTTCATCCATAATAACCACTAGTATCCCCCAACTACGTCATCATCTGTCATCATCAATTAAAATATAAAAATTATTTTTTTTATTTTTTATTTTTATGTTTTTATTAGTAAAATCGATAACGTTATAATAAATAGATATGGATATTTCACTTTCATATTTCATAATTATAATGATGTGTATAATTCTTTAAAGTGTATCGACTGAAATACCAATGGTAACTAGAATTAACCCGAGAAATCCTAAGTTCTTCATTAATTGCTCTAAATCAGGTACTGGACCAACGGAACAACAGTTTCTAGAAAGAACCCAATCACAGCCAACTCAAACTGTATCTCAAAAACTATTCATCAAACTCCAAATACATTCTGTAAGCATTTCTCCCTGGAGAATAGTAATGTCGAATCAATTCGTCGATCTGAAAGCCAAGCTTTCTGTAAAGGGAAAGAGCAGCAATTCTTGTAGGATCGACATGAAGGCAAATCCTCTGAATTTTTCTCGTTCTACACCTTTGGATTGCTGCTTTCAGTAAAGCTTCTCCATGACCCTGCCTTCTGTGACTCTCCTTCACTGCAATAAGAACAATGTGAGGCACCTTATAACATTGCTTGACACAAGGCATCAAACAAGTCAATGAGTTCATGCGATTCCCACAATTCACAAGCTACTGTGAACGAAGAACACTAGAGGCTCGGATCTTTCCTCATTTACAACAGCTTGTGATTTTGATCTCTAACAACAACAAGTCACTGAAAAACCAGAGAAGCAAATGGTTCTCTGAACAACAGCAACAACTTGTGATGCGGAAGAAGAAATCGCCAAGCTGACCGAAACAGATAAGCAAACTTAATAGATCGTCACCGAAGAATCAAAAAGGCAATCTTTTCATCAGGAAAGACAGGATCAACAGACCTTCATATCCTTTCCGAGAATCAAAACCCTAATTGGCGAAGACAAATCGAAGCAAACACTAGGCTTTCCACCAGACGACATCGAGTTGGGGGGTACGAGTGACACTAACCGGCAAGTTTGGTGATTGAAGCGCACAGGGAGGAGATCCAGGAGTACATGACATACCCAACGATCTCTTCTTCTCCTTCTTTTCCTTTGTTGGTCTTCAGGTACATGACTCCGCTGTTCTTCTTCCTCAACTCATCGTGGAAGGATTTGGAAAGTGATTCGTGCTTAGGGAAAATCTTCCTCTCCAATCTCACGATCTCTTCCACCACCGCCGCCGCCGCGTCTTTACTTGGATCCAATTCTGAGATCGCCGCCGCCGCCGCCATCCTCTCCAGACACTGGGCTCGACTCGATCGCTACTGTTTCCACGCACTTCCGTATCCATGCGGGTCGCAGTTTT